AAATGAATCAAAATTGTGTATTGTTTTTCAAAATATATAATAGAGAGAGAATCCCCATTAAATCTAATCGAAATATCAAAATTTAAATTTAAGCCTATTCTTTTAACAAATTCTTAATCATGTTAAGAGGCCTAATTAGAAATTTTTAAATGTTAATAAAAGATTAACATACCCCTTTATAATTAAAACACAGAGACACAAACATAAAGATAACTAACACATTGTAAATTTGAAAGTAAGTAATAAGATAAAATGGAAATTTGCCAGAGTAGATCCTAGTAAGAAAAGTTAAAATTCAAAAGAAAAAAAAAAGGAAAACAATAATGTAGAAAACCGAAGGATTCTAGAAGTTTTGTAGCTTTTTAAATTAGATTTAAGAACATGTGGAATGCGAGTTGAGTAATTAAAGAGAGGGGAAGAGGAGACTAATGGGAGACCTGAGGAGACTACCCGATATGATCATAGGGAAAGAAGGAGAGGAAATTAAATACTACCTTCGGGTTAAAATTAGCCAAAAAGATACATTTGAGATTACAAACGCATTGTCAAGCTCGCTCTTTTTGTATTTCCAAATTTACTTATCATGTGTATTTGTTAGAATTTTGATGAAACTTTTAATATGACTAACTATTATAAGAATTATTTTAAAAAAATAAATAAATATAAAAGACAATGTGGACTAAGGTCTTATCTTTAAAACCAAATTGAAAGTCAATCTATTTTGTCTCTTATATTATTTCAAGGTAATTCTTGCGGTAATCGTAATTCTAACTAATATATTTGATTAGTAAGGGTGTTTAAGAAAGACAACACCTATTTATTACAAGTAACTAATTTAACTAATTTTTTTAATTTACTCAAATTAATTAACTAACTCTTATATTAAAGTTCAGTGACAGTATATGATATTTTTGAATGCCTTAAAATAATTAGTGTGCAGGATCTCTCTCAACAAGGATTAGTTAATAAAAATTTGTTGTTTTTTTTTGGGGGGGGGACTTGCTTTCAAAAAAAAAAAGACATAGATTGAAACGAATGGACAGCAGAATCAACTAAATTTTATTACAACAACTAGACTTTTTTGGGCCGCCAGTTAAAAGGCTTGCATAGATGTATATTATATATAGTATAGTCAAATTATATGAAAATAATACTTTGAAACACTATTAGATATATATATATATATAAGCGTTTTAAGATTAAAACTTTTAAGGAGAAACATATGATTGAATAATTGTGTAAGTCGTAACCTATAAAAATTTCTGCCAAAATATATAATGCGATATAAGTAAGGGAAAATCTCAAAAAAATGACTGTTGAATTTCAAAATGACAAATCAGGAATTACTACAAAAATATGTTGTTATTTGCTTTGTAAGTGTAGTCATTTTCTTTATAAGTGTAGTAACCAATACTGATTTGTCATTTTAAAATTCAACAGTCACTTTTTTGGGATTTTCCCTATAAGTAAAAGCACTTAAAATATGTTGGCAAAAAAAACTTAAAAATGACTATTATATGTGCGTATGTGAATATAAGAACATTAAAACTTAGTTATAGCTAACTTTTTTTTTAAAACATTTATCATCAAAACTTATACTCCATCCGGTTCTAAATATAAAACTTATTTTATAGTATAAATTATACTATAAATAAATCTTATATTAATATCAGGAGTACTAAACAAAAATGTGATAGATCTTTGCTTCTAACATGCAGTATGCCCAAAGCCCCAAAGTCCAAAACCACCAACAGCGACCTCAGGATTATTAATGCGGCCCAATTTTCCTCTTTTGTAATCAGTTTCGCTGTAATGTTCAGAATGACCAAATTATCAAAAGAACAAGTTAGTACAAAGACAGGCATTAAGCTTGAGGCATCACATCAGAGCACAACAAATCACATACTGGGATGAGGATATCTTAAGATAACAAAACTTCTAAGGGTGTATTTGGATTAATAGTAACAAAACTAGCTTTTTATTTAATCTGATTTTTGTAAAAATGAATTGCAGTAAAAGTCAGTTGGTATTAATGTGATTTATATTTAGATTGATGTTTATAAAAAGTCAATTTGACAAATTAAAACTTGTTTGAATGAGTAATTAAAAAATAAGTTTAAATGCAGAATGACTAAAAATGGTACAAGTCTTATTTTATATATACATAATGTATGTAATTTAATAAATTTAAGAGAAATATTAAAATTAAAAGTATAAAAATAAAGAGTTAACGTATTTTAAGAAAAATTTATAAATACTTTTTTGATTCTTAATATAAGACCGAATTAACTAATTTAACTAGATTAAAGATATTAGTTAAATTAGTTAATATGATATATTTTTTTAAAACATCTTAAGTTTTTTTTTTTAATTTCATTCCTTCCTTTCGTACTTGATTATAGTTAAGGAAACATCAATGAAGTTAATTTGAAAAAAAGTTGATAATTATATGAAATAGGCTTTATATTTAGGACTGACATTAATATTTAATTAGGTTCTATATTAAAAATCGGAGGAGTAGTAAAAAACACTTAATTGGATATATTTAACATAATTTTTGTGCATATAGTTATTGACTATTATTTTATATTTTTGCAAATTTCGTAGTAGGCTTTCAACATCTAACGCCGCAAAATGTAGCTTCATCTGCAACTTAAGATGAAACAAAAAGTCCATTTAACAAAAACACAGTGCCAAACAAATAGACTTCTTCATATAAGCTATCAACGTGCATTTTACATTTTCTCAGGCAAATTAGCCACTGCGAACTTCTCCACATATTTATTTTGTACATCATAAAAGCATTTTTAAAATCATGATTTTATTCCATTCAAATACCACCTAAATATAAATGAGAGAATTTGATCTGGGCAAAGCATGGGGTCCCTGTATAATTAGCAATTTACCATACTATAATTCTTCCCTATGAGTATGTATAATCTCAAATTCTTTTTTTTTTTTAGCAGAATGTATAATCTCAAAATCTCAATTTGAGAATATTTCGGGTCATCATGAATCTCATCCCTAGCAGGATCAGTACTTAAACAACTTGTAAGGTACAATCTCAATAAATACATACATGTATATTTATGTGAAAACTGGAGTTACTTTTAGGAACATTTTAGGATTTTAATTTTACATATGACCAAACTATTTTGTTCAATGGGTCTTGTGTTTTCAAAGATGTCGGCAAGTGACCACGATCTTTGATGAATATTTAAGATTTCATATACTCCTTATTCAGCATATTAAAGTGTCATAGTTTTGTTATATACTTGGTTATTTTTAAAATTCATGTTTTCATTATAAATCACTTGTAAGAAAAATTTGAAGTTATAAATATATGTATTTAATGATTTTTTAAAAAATTTTATCCTAGTTTAATTCTCTTTAAAAAAGAGAGAAAGAAAAGAGAGAGAGTTCTGAATTTTTTGTAAATGCAGAGAAATGAAAAGCACTTTAATAAGGATAAATTTTAAGAAAAACTTTATCAATTTAATCCATTTCATGATATGTGAGAATAAATTACAAGTAATTGATAATAAAGAGTAAAGTGGTATATTATATATAAATATGTCACATAACTATATGAAATTAAGTAAATTAAACTTAAAAGATCACAGAAAAACAATGCAAGTTGCAGGAGGCATGTGCATTTTCATTTGTATGAGGAAAAAAGCTGAAATCAAGCATAAAAATCTAGATGGCTAGGATTGATTCAAAGATTAATGGAATGGTTCAACTCTGTCCTACTTAACTGAACATTTTATAATTTGATGGTGACGTGTGATTAAATTATTAAATACCATTATTATATTAAACATGTAAGTCTTTTATTCGCCATCTAAACATGTTGCTTGAATTTTGTTCATTTTAATATTATCACACTAATCCTAGACTAATCAATGATTTGTCCACTTCAACAGTCATATATTGGCGTGAACATTACTATTTATTACTGCTATGCTCAATGTAAGATTATATATAATCTTATAAGCTGGATAAATCGGTTTAAAAATAATAATAAATATAATATTCTAAAATAATTTATTTAATTTTTTAAATTAATCAACTAGATTTTATATTAAACATATAAGATAATCCTATTTTGTTACTATTACTGGCGCACTCCAGTGACATATGATTACCTACGGCAATAAATTTTCTTGGTTCCTTTCTCAAATGGAATGACTATAAATTCTATTTCATTTTTTTTATTTTCAAAAAAAAAATTTTGGTTACCCAGAGTATTCTCCCACCCGAACGGTGAGAGACTAATCTCTCAGGGTACTGTCAGTTGTCATAGCAGGGACCCTCCCAACAGTGTTTGTTCCATACACACCGCCTTAAGGATTGAACCCGGAACATGATGTTTAAGGTGTCTAAGTTCCTTCTACTTAGACCAACACTTGTTGGTTATTTTCAAAAAGTTTAATTATAATATCAAGATATATCCTTTATTTAAGATTACATGAATCAATTATAATTTGATTCAATGTGCAATCAGTAATATATAATTTATAGAAAATTATAATATTCATAAATCACGTATTGCTATTTTTAAGACTGTGTTTAGTTAGACCTTCATATTCAAATTATTTTAGATCATTATTTGATTGTAATAAAATTGATTAGAAAAATAAACATCTTATATTAAATTATTTCCATATAATCATGATCATATCAATTGTGTTTTCTATAGTCGTATTGCCCAATATACAATTAAAAGCATATCATTCTAATTACTTAGTTGCTTTGACCAAAATTGTAATTAAATTTTTGTGACAACCATATATAAAAATAAAAATGTTTCCAATTTTTTAACTTTTTTTATTTACATATAATTTCTTACATTTCACGTAATATACTATGAAGTATGCACATTTTATTTTTTCTTTTAGAAAAGAAAAAAGGAGCTAAACTTTCTGGATGAGCCACTAGGGTTAACTCCAACAGGACCAAAAGCCTTTGCCCCTGAGGGCCCTGGACTCTCTGTCTCTCTCTTTCGCTTTCTCTCTCCCCACTGCCAGACCTGTTCGGGTCATCACTGCCTCTCACTGCAACATTGGTCTTCTTCCCCTCTGGTTTAGGGCTCAATTTCACAGCTTTTTCTTCCCCAGCCTCTTCCAATCTTGGTTTTCGAGAATGGAGGCTTCTGCTCTTAGCTTCGTAGAGAAGAGGATTTGGATAGGCTCTCTTATGGAGGCTCTGGCGGTGGAGACTGTTCTTGCTGCTGGGAAATGCCTCGTTTGGCTTCTGAAAGTGGTATTGTTGCCCTTCTCTGCTCTATTTGTGGGATTTATTTCCTATTATATTTGTAATTTATTCTCTTGCTGTTTTTTTTGGAAATTAGTCTGGAAATTGCTGATTTAATTTAGTGTTTTTGCTATTCTTTCTGGGTTTATCAGAGTCAACTCTTAGTTTTCTCTGTTGTGTGGGTTCCAATTTCCCTGTCATTCATCTACTTATGGCTTCTGTGAATAACTTAGGGATCTCACTTGAACTTTCCCCTTCTATTTTATCCTTTTCGATCAAATGCTTTCTCTGCGTTGTATTTTTCTTCTATGGATGAGCTACTCTAAAGATTTCCCAGCTTTGTAGAATTCAAAGGATAGAACTGGTTCGTGACTTCATGTTATACTTAGAACAGTGATGCACAAATCTTCTGCACTGGAAATTCTTCTTGATGTTTCTACAAAACAGGGTGTGTTCATATACAGAGGCTTCCTTATTCATTTGTGATCCAAAAATCTTACTTAGCTGGGTGAATGGCTGATATTTCTGTTTGGGTCAGTATCGTGTGTGTTAAAGGACATTTTAGTGTTTAAAACTTCACCTTTGCCTTTTCTTTCCCTGTTTACAATTCAATCATTATTTGCGTGCCTTTAGTATTTAGCATAGGCAGGTATGCTACTTGTATGCTAATTAATGGCCAGGCTTCGTGGGATTCAAGATGCAATGTGGGGCCTCCTATACTTGTTGCATTATTCATGATTTAACTTGATTCAGGATGCTTTGTTTCACTCGCAACAATGGTTCACAATATAAAGTGCTCTGCTCTTGAAGAAGTGTGATAGTGATATGTGTTTGGGAAAATTATAACATGAGGTCTCTTGCTGATTGTATCTATATCAAGTCCTAGCTTGGTTTCCCAGGCTTAGGTCTGTAAAATGTGAATTGTTCCCACCCTGTGTTCTATGGCTAGAAAAGGGCGTTTTACTCCAAATGACTCTGATCTCAATCCTTTCATTCATTTCTTTCTTTCTTGCTGTTCCTAGTATTTGAGAATCGTATGTTATGAACTGGAACTGTTGACAAGTCCAACTGTGTGTCCTTAAATTGTAACCATATATTTTTGACCCAAAAAAATTGTAACCGTATATGCTCATACTATCTGCCCTTGTTTTTAATTTTTGGCTATTGGTTGATGTAGACTAACCTAATACATTCTTTTCACACTGAATCGATATAAAGGTTCTCATGTTCTGTGTATCTAACGCAGACTGAATCTCTGTTGACTGATGTCAATCATTCAGTGCCACCAAAGTTCACTCAAATGGATGGAAGGTGAGATTAAATTTGTGCAACTCTTCGGAGGGTACCTCTTTATGTACATTTGGAATGTCCATTTCATCCCAGTGTTACATGTTAATTCTCTGTCAGGTTTCCTTTAGATGAACTCGTGAGGGGAAAATGTGGTTTCATAGAATGCAAGGATGGTAGTGATGAAGATGATGATGAAGATGACCAAGATGAAGAAGATGCAAATGATCAAGATGATGATGATGATGCAGGAGATGAGGACTTTTCAGGTGGTGAGGAAGAAGCAGATCCTGAGGCCAATGGTGCAGGAGGAAGTGATGATGGGGATGAGGATGATGATGAAGATGGAGACGAAGATGATGAGGAGGACGGGGAAGATGATGATGAGGAAGAAGAGGAAGAGGAAGAAGAAGAAGAGGATGATGAGGAGGAGGTACCCCAGCCACCTGCTAAGAAAAGAAAGTGAGAAATTGAGAATTATAGTAGTAGGTAACATTGTTTTCTTCTCATCCCCCTGTAATGTTCTCTCAGTCATGCTTAGTTCTTAGGACAGTTCTCTTATCTTCCTTCTGGATGGACCTGTTGTTTTACCTTGTGTTGGAGATCATAACATCATAACGAATGTATTCTCATTTGTGATTTTCATAGCTGGGCATGAGCAGACAAGGTTTGGTGACACATTCTTAGCGTCTATTCAATGAAATGGGTTATGTTCTCACTGGCCAGGCTTTTAACAAATAGCTCAAACCTTTACCATCTGTACCCAATAGTTCCCCGTTGACATTTGTAAAAGCCAGTTCTCTCCTATTTCCTCTCTATCAGGCGATGCGGAATTTCTTAGTTATCACATCTCCACTTTCATCATCCTCTATGGCATCTTTTGCTGTCCTCCCTTAATTCTCTGGCCTTCTATTTTCTGTTTGGAGTTTCATTATCTCATATTCACTCAAGTACTCGATCATTCTCTATGCAAGTGCATTATGCATCCTCTGGTTTAGCCTCTTGCAACTTCCATTGATCTCCGGATTCTTCATCCTCTGTTTTTAGATCTAATAATAAATAGGTAAGAAATACTCCTCCTGTCCTAATTATAAGACTCAATTGACTTATTTGAGGAGATTAAGGAAGTAAGTTAAGTTGGTTATTTATAATAAATAAGTGTTGTTATTCCTAAAATATCCTTGCTAATTAAGTATATTAGCTAAAACTATCATTATTAGAAGGATTATCTTGGAAAAAAATGCATAAATATAAAAGAGAAAATGGATTGGGTCTTATAATTAGGACCAAATAAAAAGTCAAATTGGGTCTTATAATAAGGACCGGAGGAGTATATATTTTTTCCAATATATATTTGTAGAAAAGGCAAATGAGAGAGAGAATGGGTGAAAGGAAAAAAGATAAAAGAAAATGTAAATGGCAAATGTACATGTTTATACATCTTCAAAGTGGAACTCAGAAATAGCAAGATCCATTCAAAAACTTGCAGCTAGTAAATAAAATTTGATTTTTTTTTTTTAAAAAAAATTAACATTGTTGTTTGTTAGTATTAGTAATAATTCAAAGGGCAAAACTTATGCTAAAATGTTCTACTTATGGCGATTTTACATGTCATTTCAGTAAAAGAGAAAGCAAAAATTAATACTCTTCTTGTCTTTAATGTATGACCTAACTTGAAAGTTGATATTGGTTTTACATGTAAGTTCTTTTAAAAAAATTAACTCTATTGATAATATCTCAACAATAATAAAGTCAGAGAGAGAAAGAGAAAATTATTAGAGTATTTTAGAAAAAAATATATATATCATATTAATTAATCTGACTAACATTTTAAATTTACTCAAATTAGTCAATTAAGTCTAACATTAAGGATTCAAAGACCATAGTTTGTGAAATTCGATAATAAGATTAATAAGGATAATATGGATAATCTACTTGACTTCTACAACGACTCTAATGTGTTAATTGACTTGTAACCGTTGGCAATAAAAAACTTGAAACTATTTTCCAAAAAAGGTACGACACTTGCTTAAAAATTGGGAGCATTTAGAAAGATTGCTTCAAAAAATAAGGAGCTACTCCTCCGCTTCTTAATATAAGACCCATTTAACTAATTTGATTAAATTAAGGAAGTTAGGTAAGTTAGTTAATTATAAAAAATGTGACACATTTTTCCTAAAACACTATAATCATCTTTTTTAATACCTCCTCTTCCTCTTTTACTTGATTATGGTTGAGGAAGTATCTATAGGGGTAATTTAGAGAAAATTGATAAGTATGAGAAATGGGTATTATATTTAGGACCAAAACCAACTCAACAATTGGGTCCTATATTAAGGACCGGAGGAGTATTAATTTTGATTTTTAGTATAAAAAGTAGTTAATTAAATTGAATAAATTAAAAAATTAATTAAATTAGTTATTTGTAATAAATAGGTGTTGTCTTCCGTAAATATTTTTACTAATCATGTGTATTAATTAGAATTATTATTTAATAAAACTTTTAATATGTGCAACTACTAAAATGATTACTTTAGAAAAAAAAATAAATATGAAAAACAAAGCATATTAGGATTTTATATTTAGGACCAAGTTAAATGTCAAATTAACTTTTATATTAAGGACCGAAAAAGCATACGTTATCCTTTGTTTAATTTACATTAAGGATTAGAGGTAGCATGTTTCTTAATGTGAATGAAAAAAAAGTATTACCTCTGATTCTTAATATAAGAGTTAGATAGATAATTTAGATATATTAGAAAAATTAATTAAATTAGTTATTTGTCACAAATATATGTTGATCTCCCTAAATTATTATCTCTAATCATATGCATTAGGTGATTTAAATTATCTCTTAGTAAAATCCCTTTCTAATCAATGGAGATATTTAATTTTAGGAAAAAAAAAGCGATAAAATGAATTGAATTTTTATATTTATGATTAAATCTAAAGGAGAATAATAATGAGTTCTTAAGAAAAGAAAAAAAAATTACAAAATAAGTTTAAAATGTTGTTATTCTCCACTATAGAACTTGTCATTACACACTACTCAAATTATTATCGAGATTTTTTAATAATTTTTTTTTTTAAGATATGATTGTAATGCTCCCTGACGTAGCTTGTGGATTAGTTTTTATATCAAGTATTGGAGGAGGTATATGTGTCTCATATTAAACTGTTCAAGTTCAAATTCTGATACAGCACACGGAAATACATGAGGAAGCCATCACTTCGATAACTAACGTTGACGTGCAAGCAAACAGGGACGCATCAGGCGGTGTGACAGTTTGTTTGTGAGATTTACGTAAAAAGAGATTCTTCTTTTTTTTTGTGGAAAAAACAAATACTCGTATTTCTTTTTCAAAAATACCCCTAACTTTTCGGTTCCAAAATCTTTGTAGAAAAAAGAAAACAATATTACAAGCTTTAAGAAAATCTATCTCAACTGGTCTTAATTTGTTTGGGAAGACATGAATGATGCAACGTACTTCTTTTATTTTTAATATAAAAGCCACGTACATTATTAATATAGATGGATTAAAAAAGCTAAATTAATTACTTAATTTTAATAAATATGACTTAATCTCCCTAAAATACTTCTGTAACGTTAGATTATATATCAATTTATATGTTAGATAAATTAATTTGAGAGAAGAATGATAAACATGAAATATAAAATAAATTAATATCTTATATTTAGAATTAAAAATCAAATCGTTAATGAGCTTCTATATTTAAGATTAGAAGAGTATATAGAAAACAAATTCAGCCTAACAATTGAAGCATATCAAAAAAGTCCTTATAAGGAGCATTATTTGGGTTTGCAAGCCAAATGGTACCAGTTTGGTTACCTACCCTACACAAATTTGCTTCTCAGATTAATTAAATTCATTAGTTTACTCCAATGCCAACTTACATCACTAGGAGCATTACGTCACCAGCAGAATTTTTTCTTCTTTTGAATAACATAAAGACAGGCTAATAATATAAAAACTAGTTGATTAAGTTGAGAATATTAAAAAAATTAGTTAAGTTAATTATTTATAATAAATAGGTGTTGCCTTTCCTAAAATATCTTTGTTAATTAAATGTATTAGTTAGAACTACCATTATTATGTTGGAAAAAAAAAAGAACTACCATTATTATAAGGACTACTTTAAAAAAAGATGGATAAATATGAGAGACAAAGCGGATTAGGTTTTTATATTTAGAACAAAAAAAAAAAAAAACTCTTATATTAAGGACCAAAGGTAGTATCAAATTTGGAAATTAAAGTTACAAGAAATGTATGTTCATAATTTAAAATGCAAAACAATATATCCATATCAATTTATATTTATTCGTTATTATGAATTGCACGCTTCATTTATCAAGTTACCTAAAATACATAAGGTTAGTTAACAATATCATTAGTTCAGGTTAATATAATTTCTGATCTCAAGTTTACTTTTATTTATGTTTTGATCCCTTAAATTTTAAACAATAAATTTTGGTAATTTAAGTTTTATTTCATTTAAAAACAATAGTCCTTATAATCTAATAAAAACTTGAACTTATTTGCCTATTGAGAGCACAAAACTTATGACTTAAAACTTGAGACACCAAAACTAAAATGAGAATAAATTTAAGAGGGTAAAAATTATATTAACCCAATTCGTTATATATATGTGATGGAGCAAATAACTATGCATATTTTCTTATAGTATAATGAATAATGATGGGACAATTCAAGTGAGATACGACTTTCTGTTCACTTGTAGTTTGGAGGCCCATTATATACGATATCTAAGTATTAATATAAGAACTTATTTAATTTTTATTTTGATTCTAATTATAAGAATCCAATCTATTTTGTTTTTTATAGTTATTTATTTTTTCTCAAAATAGTCCTTATAATAAAGGTAGTTCTATCCAATATACTTGATTAGCAAGGATATTTTAAGAAAGACAACACCTATTTATTATAAATAACTAACTTAACTTGTTTTTTTGATATGCTAAAATTAGTCAATTAGCTCTTATATTAAGGACCAGAAGGAGTATTTTGTTACTACTTGTAAAAACGTATCAATATGTTGACATTAAAATATTAATACATACTATTTCCGTCTCTTAATATAAGATTTAATTTGACTTTTATTTTGGTTCTAAATATAAAACTCTAATTCACTTTATCTCTCATATTTTTGCTTTTTTTAAGATAGTTTTTCTAATAATGATAGTTCTAGCTAATATACATTATTAGCAAGGATATTTTAGGAAAGACATTACATATAATTACAAATAATTAACTTATTTTCATAGTTTACTCGAATTAGTCAATTAACTTTTATATTTAGGAATGGAAGTGATACAACAGTTCATAACTGGTCTGTTTCTATACTTCAAAAATAAACTGATAAACGTACTTGATTAATGAACTAACGTTAAAAACAACAAACGTTTTCATTCAACATGAATTTCTTCTTTCATTAATATTGCATCCTATGAAACTGAGGAAATTTACGTAACATCAAATTAACTTCTTACCATATATAAATACTGCCAACACGAACATCTTCGGCACCAGTATCGATCAGATCAAACATGGCTGGATCCAAATCATCAAACATTTTCTCATCAGTCCTTTTCTGTGCAACCACGTTAATGTTTCTGTCAAATATTCTGAACATCGTCCCAAAAGCTCAGGCAGCACGGGACATGACCATTTCTGCAGAAGAAGCAACAAAATGCTTCAGTTTCCTAGGAGACGTACCAGGTTGTGCAGAAGGAATGTTGGGAAACTGGTCGTTGATAAATCACCGTTGTTGCAAGGCCATCCTTGATGAAAGTCAACTTTGCTGGGATAAAATTAACCCTGTTCATGCAGAAATCCCTCAAATCTACAAAGATTATTGCACTGGAGGCTTTCTAGAACCTTCTTCTCCTTCTCCATCTTCTTCGATTGAGACGACTCAAGATCTTGAACAGTGTTGGGCTTCTTTAAGGAACATAGAAGGTTGTGTTGGGAACATATTTTATGCATTGCTTCATGGTGACTTTAATAAGGTTGGACATGAATGTTGCCAGGCTGTGGAGTCCACTGCGGACGAGTGTTTGTTTAAGATGTTCCCTTGGAACCCTTTCTTTCCCATTTTGCTTATCAGGTTTTGTACCAATCATTAATAAGTCTCTTAGAGATGATGAGGTTCCTTATTATGAGATCTTGTAGGATTTAAGGATTATCTACCGATAATGTTTTCATATCAGCAATGAAATTAGAACCTATATTTTTATGAAATATGCGAGTCATATTCTTATTAATTGAATCAACTTTGTGTGATAGAAAGGGATTTAATACTCTTCCTTTAACCAATATCACAAGCTTATTGTGGATGGATACAAGAAATAATCATATTAGAGAGTTTGCCTAACCAAATTGATGATCAGATTTAAATTAATGTTATTGGATTCCAAATAATTATGAAAAAACAAATAATGGGTAGTTTAGATATAATTTTAATTTTAATATTTTAGATTTTTTGAAATATTTTCCCAATTAAAGTAAAATCCAGACTATCCATATCAAACAACTAAATTTTTTTTCAAGGGATTTAATTTCTAAAAAGTGGAAAAAATTATTCATATGTACAATTTTCAACTTTTGAATGTTAATATATAAGAAAAGTTATATTCATAATTAAATTATATTCCACTCCTTCATGCTTCGAAATTCATGAATCAATGCTAATCTCTGTGGGGCCCAGTCCCAAGGACACGGCCCAAGAAGAAGTTTTTATTTTTAAATAAAAGATTTTTCATACATTAAAAAGAGAATTACAAAATACCGAATTAATTCTATCAAATTGCAGGCTTCTTTCAAAAGAAAATCATCCATATTATATAATCTATAATATTTCATATATATACATAGATATATATTTTTCCATATATATACTATTGTGTGCATCTCATAAATCTAGAATGTTAAAATTAAAAAAAATACATATCATTAGGAAAATTAAAAAAAATCAAAATTAAGTCATTGAAAATGATAATACCCCAACACATGAAAGCATCACATTTCAAGAAACACAATATATATTATTGAAAATTCCGAGAATACATAAGACAAAGGAGTGACCAACTAAAACCGAAACATATATAGTTCATCAGAAGAGAAAGATACATGAAAATAGATAGGATAAACCCGACCGTATTCATATAGTCGGGTCACTACGTAGGAAGCACATGTGGGATTATTATTAGTATTTAAGAACAAGCGATGGTGGAGGAACTAGGAGTCAAAGGGAAAGAGTTGTCCCAAGCATATTTAAAAGTGATTGGTTTGGTATAAACAGGTTGGCCATTATTAACCAGACAAAGACCATCGCTTGAGACCTGGAACACAGAAGGATCAATGTTCTCCACTGTCTGAAAACCATTGCACTTCAACTTCAGGTTCAACTGAACGCACGTACACTTGTTCTCTATCGTCACCATCCATTCTGGTTTGTTCTGCACAATCGCTCCTGTCTTACTTTGGCTCACTGATATGTCCCTTAACGAACAGTTAGTAGCTTTGCCTGCATCAGAAGAGGAAAAAACGAAACATAAATCTTCAATATGTAATGCAACAACGTTAATAATAATAATGGAGAATACTAAGAAACCAGAATATAAGTAGGTTGTTTGTGTGTACCATGGGCAATGAGGCCGAGGAGAAGAAACAGTGTGGCAAGAATTTGGGTGGTGGAGGCTGCCATTTGTTTTTGTTTTCTGCAAACGATATAGATTCTTCTGGTGCTGATGAAGAATATGTTGGCGTGTGATGATCTATTTATAGGAAAGAGATTTGTTTTTTTTTTTGGGGGGGGTTGATAGATTGAATTAATTGTGTTATTATTACAAGTTAATGCAGAATCATCGTACGTTTTGGTAAATAAAGTTATTACCTTTGATTCTTTCTTCACTTAAGTTGATTTAATATTAATTTCTCAGTGTTAATGACGCCCGATTATGCAGAATCATCGTTGTAATTAGTACAGCACGATTTTTTTTTTTGTGGATAAAGGAAAATTCTTGATTTGATATCATTATCTTGCGATATTGTAAAGGCCATTAAATTAAAATTTAGTTTAAAAGCATACATATTCAAAATTATTGGTGTTATGGTCATAAAGATTAGCGTAATTATTTGGATGCGCATTTTGATTCGAAATCGAGCTAATTAATTTCGAATATTTAAATTATCAAGATTTTATGGTATAAGTAACACGAAAAAAAAAAGTAATATTAAATTCATGAAAAAGTGGTTCAAAGTCCTACACATGCCAAAGGTTGTAGATTCAATTCATTCCTATGCCATTTTCTTATTATATAGCATTTTTGAGAGTTTACCATGGAATAATTTAAGAAAAAAATTTAGTTCAAGTTTTTTATATATATTATATTAAGTTTTCTAATCACAGTCGATATGAATTTTTTTTGTTTTGTGTACATTTATAATTGAGTGCTATTAAATATTAATATTTGAAAAATAAGACATATGATTGTGTGTGATTGAAGAACTTAACATAATGAATAATTGAATATAAGGAGTGTAATGTAAGTATTATCCATAATTTAAATTTGATTCATAATATAAAGGAGTGGAATAAAACACACACACATATATGGAGAGAAGGCAATTATAAGTGATTAGTATTTAGAATTTATTATCAAATGTATGAAACTAACCATAACTTTTTTTTAAGTATTACTTTTTAGTTTAAATAAGATTTACGGAGTACACATTTCTAAAGATTAATTTCCAGTTTCCACTGAAACAATCAAGCCATCTAAGAACTTGATCCCAAATGAACTTGTAAATATGAAAAGCACTTTAAAGCCAAGTTGGATGAAAAGAATTGATATTTGACCTGATTTAAGAGACAACTAACTTTTTGTTCAAGACTCATTTTAAAGTTGAAACAACTTTTTTTTTTTTTTTAATTCAAACAAGTTTATGTCAAATTAATTTTTTTATAAAAGGCTATTCAAGCATAATTTATATTACACTAATTGAATTTTTTTTTAAATGTTAACATGCAAAAATTGATTAGAATAAAAGTTATTTTTATCAACGTTACTCCAAACAAACTCACTCGCATGAGTTTTGAAGACTACAAATGAAAAATATTTGTTAGCAAGAAGTCATTGATTGGAAACCAAATTAAAGCTTCATGGATGAGATTGTTTGGTCCTGTCTGCTAGCTGATTTGGAAGAACTAGTGCAAGAAAGCTATATATCAAAGGTATATTACTGCTGAGCCAGAAGAAATCATTCATTAGACAGTTCATCTTATAACAACTTATATGGAAGCAAACAATTTAGGGCCATATGAGCATTAAGTCTTCCTAAGTACATAAATAGGCCTAAGTTAGTGAGCTTCCAAATGAGTTTAGAATATATTGCAGCAAAACTCCTTGCTATTCCAATTAGGATAATGAGATTATTCATTTACATGAGATTATTGCAATGTGTATTGATCGCACTCACTAACGACTTGGTTTAGACCAAAAAACTAGCATTGTGGTTGAGTTGTTGGGTCAGAACCTGGAGTTAGATTGGGAATGCTTTTTGAACTAATAGTAGAAATGCTGAAAATTTTTTGAGGAGAAACCCATAAAAGTTTTAAAAGATTGACCCTATTAAAGATTTCATTCTGTTTTCAAACTATATGTTGTCATATAGTGTTATTTAATTGAAAATTTCGTATACTATGGCGTTATTATGTTTACAATTATACTTGATATGGATTTACTTCTTATATATATATATATATACTCTTTTTATTTTTAATGTAAGACTTAATTAACTAATGTAAGTAAATTAGGAACGTTAATTAAATTAGTTAATATGATATGTTCTTTCTAAAACACACTAATAATTTTTTTTAATTCCCTCATTCCCTCTCTTAGTTAATTATTATTGAGGGAATATCAATAGGGTTAAATTGAAAAAAATTGATAAATATGTAAAATAAGTATTATATATAGGACTACCATCAACTCTTAAATTAGGTTCTATATTAAAGATTAGAGTAATGTTAGTTAATATGCATCTAATTATGTCTTATTAAACTTTTTTAATTATTACTTCACTGATTCATCCAACTAATTGAACCATAGAATCATGAACGGTTGACTTTTGATGTTGGATGTCTTATCCAACTTTTAAAACAAAAGTTTACAAAGTGAGCAATAGGTACTACTTCTGATCTTAATTATAAGACCATGTTTATAATTAGGCCCATAAGTAGTGATTATTTTGCAGTAACCTATAACAATTTGCTTGGCCTAACGTTTGAGAGGTACTCTAGCTGATTTCGTTGTCCTTTTTTTATTATTGTGTCTTTTCTTTAGTAGTCATGTTTTCTTTTAGGTTTGATCTTGTCTTTTTATTTTTAAAAAAAAACGAAGAGATCCATTTTTTGTTAACAAGAGGTAGATATTTGACATCTAGAAAAAACAAAAAGGGAAATCCCAATGGCCTAATCTCTTATGATGGGTTTCTCATGGGTCAAATTGTGCTTCATGTTCATAAGTTAAAACTGATGGATTTTCGAGATCCTTGCAAGCCCCCGAATCCGGATTAGTTTGGGGACGTTGTCACGGCTGAAAGACGCCTATTTCCCTGGGATACCGGATGGAGTAATCCAAAAAAACTGATGGATTTTCGGGGCGGACTTTTAGTTTCACGGGTTAACTTATACTTGACCCAACTTATATACAGCCAGAGTTCCTGTAAACTAAATATTTTTCCTCTAGTTCACCCAAAAAAAATTTCTTCCTCTACTTCCGGACGTTTATATTTTCTAATGTTCATTTCTATCTCTTTCCTTTTTTTTTTTGTCAGAATTTTTTTCATGTCCTCCTTTGAATTGTAGAGCATGAATAGTGAGAGGCATTTGATTTTTCTTACCTGTTACTTATCTGCCTTGGTCGCACATTTTCAATGGAACTGTGTATGGCCCAGTTTGTTGATTAAAATTATAAATATATTTTATGTAAATCAAAATAAAACTTTTTTTTTCATATATTTATTTTGTATTTCGATATTCATGATTGAAAAGCTAACAAAAAAAAGAACGAATATAACCATCAACTAAAGAGAAGGAGACGATGAATATAAATGACTTGATGTGAAACGTGATATCAGGTTTAACCGAATAATTTTTCTCTTACGTGTGAGTTTACTATTAATGTCGTATTCACACGAGTTTTGGACAAATCGGACGCATTGGAAAAACAGGGTCTTGATTCAAAATCTCAACACTCAAGTTTATGGGTTATTCCACTTTTATAATAATTAAATCCACTTCTGTCTTTTCTATAGATCAGCTTAAAGTTACCGATACTTAAATATCCTAACATGCTTATCATTATTGTTTTATTAATGAAGGGATAATAGTATTTAGCAAAACTTTTTAATGCTAATTACTTTGAAATAAAGAGTGAAACATCATGAAGGTACAATTATTTAAAATGAAGGAATTTAAAATTTAAAAGAAAAAATATTATTCACGAACAACTAAAAATACATTTTATTTCTTATCCTTTACGCCTAAAGAAGTGTAAATTAAAAATTACTCCTTCTCTGTCATGTGATAACACATTTGCACACCTAAAACAGTTAGTTAGTTTGTTAACATCCAATTTTTTTAACTTAAATTAATAATTAAGTAATATTTCTAAAGATTCTAATTATTGAAGCTTGAAATTTGAAACAATAGTTTTGATTTTTGAAATTTGATCTCGTTCTGTCTAAATATCTTTGTTGAGTTGGGAATACGGGCCGAGCTAGCCCTATAGGGCTGCGGCCTTAAATAGGTCAGCTTGCAGGACTGAAATTTAAAAAATGTCTCATTTCATTAGGCCCAGCTCTTAAGCTGGTACACTTAGGGCTGGCCACCAAGTCAGGAAATTAAAAAATGATAATCAATCTGAAAATCCAGGAAGAGGCATAGGGATCAACAAGTTATTGAAAAATTGTTTTTCGATAAGAATTTGGTCGAGAGACAAATTGAATCCATTTATCAACGATTCAGCCTGTAGGCTTTCGGCTCGTTTAAAAAAATGCAATTACTAATAAAAGACTTAAATATAAACAAAATTAAGTTACTTCATATCCAAACATTTATTAACATCCAAAAATATCTAAAACATCTATCAATAAGATAATATCATCCAAAAGTTTCATTAACAGTACAAATGTGCAATGGACAAATATTATCATCAATTTTTTGAAATTTCATTATGACCATTATCAATTGCTCTTTTTTAGGAGTATGCTCTTTTTTAGTAGCAAAAATATCAAGTTTTTTTTTCATAGAAATTTCACTTTTAAATTATACAATTTAGCTATTATTTTACTTTAGTTTGAGATATTTTATTGTTGAAGCTCATAAATTTATAATTCAAATTATAGAATCACAAGTTATATAAGTATAAAAATATTCTCTTATCAAATATATATAGTTTAAAAATATCAATTCATATAATATAAACCAAATCATTATTAAAGACCAAATTAACCCATTTTTTAAATTTAATTATACAAATTATTGTTCAAAACAAAATAAATCAAAGCATTTTATGAAATTTAATTTCAAAATGACAACAATAACTAAATATTTAAAATATTATTAATAATTAAATAATAATAATATTAGCATTATATAAAAAATTTAAAAAAAAATAAAAGAGCCTAAATGGACCAGTA